AATTGGTCCGTTTATTGAAGATTTAAATTACACAAAGACATAAAATACAAAGCTACCTTAGTGTGCTTTAAGGCCTTTATTGATGTGTGTGTGTTTTCTAATCATGTTAGATTTACTATTTTTTGGTATTTTGATAAATAATGTCCATCATTTTTCCTAGGTGTCTTTGTAAACGCAAAATTGGATAGAAAACATATGCTGATGTTCCAACTACTAATGTAAAGAGGGCTAAACGTTTGGCTGATTCTCTTGCATCTCTACAGCTAATATTTAAAATATTTCAAAGGTACGTACTGCCTTTGGATGTATTCTTGTACTTTATAGTTTTCTCTCAAATTGCTTTGAGGTTTGACTGTGCTTGCATGATGTCAAGACAAACAATCACATACCAAAAAGATTCTCGATTCTGTGTCCCACCGGTGTCCCATGCGTTAATCTCCTAATTGTGTGTGGCTGTGGATTTGGTAAATGTGGAGAAATGGATGTGGCAGTTAGCACACGGAGACCGAGCCACTGTGGAGAAGCATTTAGTTGTAGTTACACCCCCTGAGGGGCTCTCTTTCTTCCAGAAACGTGATTTGGGATCTGCTGACGCTCCCCTGGCTGGGCCCTGTGACTGGGAATCGCTTCTCAATGGCACTGTAAGTGTGTACAGACAGCTGTGATATTTAAGAAATTCAAATTGCTGCCTGAAAGAGCACATTCTTACGAAAAATGTTTATTGTTTAAAAAGAAATTAGGGAAATAAGTTACTTATTAACAAAAATAGAGAGAATTCATAAACTAATAGTTCCTCCCTTTTCTTCTAGCAGTTCTGAATCATCCTCGGAAAGTGGCTTTTCAGGAAATGGATCAGAGGGAAATGATGACAGTGACAGAGTTACCAATGCTCTTCCATCTTCTGTGGTACAGTATTCGTCTCCAAACTTCCTAGTTAGTCTGAGTCCCCTTTGTGCTTCCTCATTTAAAAATGATCTTCAACCGAATTTTTCTATTTTTATCTCCTGTGCTCTCACTAACTAATATTTGGGGCTTTTGACTCTCTTCTTTCTTAAGAATCCACATCCCTCACGTGTAGAATTCGCCCACTTGTCACACCCATCTTTCTCTCCCTACTGGCCTTCATATATTCAAATATTCCTGTGATCTTGCTTTTTATCTTATACCAACTGAGCAGTAATTAATTCATTCATATAGCTCTGCTTCTGTTTTTAAAAAAATCAGAACTAAACTTAAATAAAAATGAAACAAATAAGATAAATTTTGTGGTGATGATTAGTGTTAACAAAAGTTATCCTATTTATAAGAAAAAGACAACTCAGTAGAAAAATGTGCAAACAATTGGCACAGGAATTTCAGAAAAGAGATACCCAGATGGTCAAGAAACATATGAAATGACATGCAATTCAAAAGAACAGTTGGATGCTATTTTAAACCCACGAGGTTGGCAAAATTTGAGTCTAGCAATACTAAGTGTTGACATAGCTATGTAACAGTTATCTTATATAATAAACTTCTAATATGCAAATCAACTGAATGATGGAAGGACAGGTTCCTATGACACACACTCACCACCAGGGGCAGATTCTTAAAACAGGAGCTGCCCCCTGGACAGAAGCCCAGCCAGCAGCCGGGCTTGGCTGGCAAGTGCAGTGGTGGTAGCAGGAGCCTCTCCCACCTCTGCGGCAGCCTTAAGGACCCCTCCGGGGCTGTCCAACCACTGGCTGAGTCCCACTCTCCCAAGAGGTCCCAGACTGCGAGGGGATGTAGGCTGGTCTGAAGGACTCCCCCAGCAGCCCCCTTCCAGTGCATTAATGTTGTGCACCGAGCCCCATGCTGCTGGTGCAAGTAGCAATCAGCACAACCATTTTGGAGAACAATTTGACAACATGTATTAAAGTTGAGGGTGCGCATGCTATCATGTCAAGGAGTTCCCTTGCTGGGGATATTTCCTAGAGAAACACATGCATGTGTGCACAGAGAAACAGGTGTAACAATATTCTGTGCAATATTGGTTGTAATAGGAAGA